CCTCAAGCTGCTGGACCGAATATATGTGCGTGTTTGAGGATCTGGGATCCTTAGAACTGGAGGCTGGGCGGACACTCTGAGGTCACCTAATAGGTTAACAGGGGCGTTAACATTGGGGGAGGAAAACCTAGATACTAAATCCCACAACCTCATCTTACACGCCTCCGGTCCTGAGGATCCCAAGAGGCGGGGAGGCAGGTCAGACCAAGCAGTCTCTGAGACTTCGTTTATTATCTTTTTCCTTAAAAAATGGTGGAGAGGAGGACTAGCACGTAGCCCCAGAATTCGCGCCTTCCCAGGACGCAACCGCAGAAAAGGCGGCGGCGTGGGCGCTCTGGCGAGCCGGCGTCCTCTCGTTGGTTGCCCTCTCTCTGAAGCCTAAATGGGCGCCGCCATCTTCCCTTTCTAGCCGTCACGTGAGCAGTAAGCCCTAGGCCGCCGACTGGTGGCAGTCTGGCGGATCCTGGAGGGTTCCAGCAACCACACATAGCTAGTTAACGAATGGTTCTTGAGGGCCCAAGCTGTTCGAGGAGCGGGAGTTTGGGCAGTGAAGAAAACAGAAGCTCCTGTTTCGTGAAGCTTAACTTTCTATTGGGAGTAGGCAGTAGGCAGTCAATGAACAAGATAAATAAGTAAATGATTTATGTTGGATGGTATTGAGTGCTTCGGAGGAAAAAAAAAAGGAAGGAGGGGATGGGGCGGAGGGTGTGGTTCAATTTTAAATGGGATGGCGGGAAAGATTTCACTAAGATAACACTTGGTTCCAGAAGACCTAAAGGAGGCTCATGCCCATAGCGTTCTTGGGTTAGTCTGAGGACCAGCCAGAAGGAACCCAGGAGGTGAGAAGAGGGAGGTGGGGTGGGGAGCCCAGCTCGGGTAGGACTTTATGGGTAGGGTGCCCATAAAATGTACAGACCACTCTGGGACGTTTCCGAATGAAAGGGGATGTTATTAAAACTTATACCAAGGCAACAGGCATAAACCAGGACCGTAGTCGGTGAATAGATAGGGTCTTTGGCTTTTACTTTGAGGAAAATGGCAAGCCATTGGAGAGTTTCAAAAGGTAAGTGTTGGGAACTGATAATTGCAGTAACAACGTCACTCTAACTGTTGTTGAGAATTGACTATAGGAGCGAGTACAGAAGCCGGAAAACCAGTTGTGATAATGATAACACAGACAAGAGATGATTGTGGCTTGGACCAGGGGGGCAAGATGTGGTTGGATACTGGTTATATCTTAAAAGTAGAGGCAAAAGGAATTGCTGATGGGTTGGATGTTGGGTATGACAGAGTATTCAAGCATAGCCCCAAGGTTTCTGGCTGAAGCAGCTGGAAAGATGGGACAACAAAGAGGAGTAGGTTGTGGGGCTAAGTTTAGTTGTTTGGTTTTGGACATACCAAGTTTGAGTTGCCCCTTTGATGTCCATTGTTGGACATACAGTCTGAAGTTCAGAGTAGAGGTCTGGAGATACACCCTTGGGGGCACTATTAACTAGATGATATTTAAAACTATGACATTGGATGAGATCACCAAGGGAGTAGGTGTAAGTGGTGAAAAGAAGTCTTAGCACTGAGCTTCACGTTCTCAGTGGAGCTTCCATTCCATAATGACCTCTTGGCTGTTACTCCAACAACACCTAGGGGTGCTCCAAAGTTAGGATGAGAGATGGGGAGGAACCAGCAGAGGAGACTGAGCAGGAAGAAATCCATGACAGTGTGTGGTCTTAGCAGCCAAGTGAGGAAAGTGTTTTGAGAAGGTAGTGAGCAAGTCTATCAAATGATGCTGGTAGTTTAGTAAAATGAGGACTGGAACAGAGGCCATTGTGTTGACCAAGTAGAAGTCATTGGTGACTAGGTGAGCAGTTTCCCTTTTGCTTAAGGGCAAAAGCCTAAGCATAGTTGGCTTAAGAAGAAATGAGGGTTATCAACTCTGGGAGTGGGGGGCAGGAAAATTTTTAAAAAAGAAAAAGAAGAAATGAGAGAAGTGGGCCGGGCGGGGTGGCTCACGCCTGTAATCCTAGCACTCTGGAAAGCCAAGGCGGGCAGATTGTTTGAGCTCAGGAGTTCGAAACCAGCCTGAGCAAGAGCGAGACCCCGTCTCT